TAATTGGGTAAATAGCCCCGGCGGTTAACGAGACTACTACAGGTAGCATACTATTCAATTTGCAAGCTTTGTGCCAGATAAAAATATTTGCTTTCAAGAAAAGCACAGTACGAAAAGCAAGCCCTTTTTTTTCACATTAAACCTAAGCACCCCAAATCGCTATCACTAGGTCATCCCGGTGCTTTTATACGCTTTCTTGAAACTGGTGGCACAGCTGTGGTGAAAATGGCCAATCAGGAACTGAATCGGAACCACTGTCTGACAACATCTGGAATCGGGTCAAAAGATGTCAAATTACGAAGAAACAGGCAACTCCCGTTTTAAAATTGTGAATGGAGGCGTCTGCGCATGGGCGAAATGCCAAAGAGTTGATTTTACGAGTCCGCGTGTGAGATGTCGAGGGGCTTTATTTTATGAGGCTTGTGGTTGCTGTTCAAGTGGGGACGGCGTCAAATAGAAGACTCGAGATTCGCATGAGCTGAGAGCCAACAGATTTTACTTAGACTACCCAACAGTTCCCATTTACGCTTACGTAAAAGAGATGTATAAACTTTCTTGGGCCATTTGCAGAACAACATTTGACATTACCAAACAGTTACATCCTAGTAACGACCAGTTTTGTACAAGAGAACAGGGCAGACATGAAATAGCGCTCAGAAGGAATAAACGAAGAAAGCTGTGGCGTTTTACTGTGGCATCGCTAAACTGAAGAACAAAGCTTGAAAATTGACAGTAAGGTTTTAGTTTCGAAGCCGTCATTTAGAAGATCACCCAGGCTCAACTCCGAGCTTAAAATTATTGTACACCAGAGTCCCAACCTCGTGTGAATAGTTGGGGCATTGCATGGACGTGAAAGTTGCAATCCACCAGAGCCAGGTCGGCAACGCAGGGTGGATTCAGTGACACGATGTACTCAAGGGTCCGCCACGAGCGAATGACTCTGTCTCAGAATCTTGATGTACACTAGTCCTCCAACATTACGACAAAACATAGGCCACCCCAAGCACTTGCCTTCAATTGCTGACGACGTGATCTAGGCAGCTTCGCGAATATGCACACTTTCGACTTGACTTGTGCCATTTATATACAACTCATTCTCGGCACTTGGCTTGGTGCATTTCCGATTCGATGGCTCTTTCAGTGGGCCATTATAAATCACTTGAAGACTTCAATCTTAACTTCGTGTTATTTTAACGGCGTTTCCCCATTGGCTTAAACAAAAGATCTTCTCCCTACTCGCAGCAACATACTCAGGGTTCTGGAATTTTTGCTAGTTGTGGGCCCCGGCATGTGATCTCGAACCACGCAGGGGCCATTGAGTTGAATCTGGCCCGACTACGCTACCCTGCTACCAGCGATGTGCTAGCATTGGGACCTAGGTGACAATTATCACGTATGCTGAGAATCCAGGATAATCGCTCGAACGAATGAGATGTAATTTGGGGATCGGTGATTCACAATATGCTTAGACACAGTTAGTGAGACCTTCACAATCCTTCCTTCTTCGTTTCGAAGTCAAGATAAGACGATCGATTATCATGAACTCTGAATCTAACTGTGGGGAATGTGACACGGCTATCGATAATCACTTACTGTATCGACACACAAAACTCCCTTTGTACTTGTGATACACTAGGTCGATCCGCTTACTCATTTGAGATTCCTTCAAATGTCTGCATGTATGTAAGGCCCATCTGGGTGACTTACTGGAAGGGCATAGAGCAAGGTTTTGTGATTCGCTTGCGACAATCACCACTGTATATGCTTGGAAGACTTCGACGAGTGGATTCGTTCGATGACATTCAAGCATCGTCTAAGTGTGTGAAGCTAAGTGGGCATATTTGGTCATGGTACGAAGACGGCGGCTTCCATTGTCGCAAAATACAAAACCAAATAGAGCTCCTAATGCCAGAGTTTTCAACCAAAAGTTATTTTACAAATCGGGTTCTGCATAAGATACCAAAGAGTGGTACTCCTCCGGTTTTCATCAGTGTGTAAAATCGTCAACCTAGTTATGCATTTATTACTTACAGATGTGAAATCTTCTGAGTCGTAATATCTTAATAATACCTATCTACGTTGAAAAGCACACATTTCATACGCATTGCAGCTCAACAACTTTACGTGGCGATGGCAGCACCTCGACGAAATTTACTCGAGTGTCATTAGGACAACACCACGGCCTTAGGGGAAGGAAACCGTGACAGCAACTCACGCGGTCACGTGACGTCCTTGCACATGATGGATCAAGGTCCCACAAAATCGATGAAATGCCATTGTGAAACCAGAAGGGTGTTGTCGGCATTGTCGTAAATATGCCGAAGCCACCTTGTGATTTTTGTCAGCCTCCTATCAACGCCAAATTTTTTGTTTTCAAAGAACCGCCTTACAACCGTTTGGCCTACACACACACGCTAGAGTCTACACGACAATCAGTAAGCTGATTCTTGCAGAACTACCTCCTCGTTAATTTATCATAGAGGTCGTTTTTGGATTGCGAAGCACCGAATGATCTTCTTGAGCGCAAGCTTCGGTCGACCTACAATCAGCACAGAGACTGGAATAAAGACAAATTTCACGCTGCGATGCAACCAGAAACATGCACAAAGCGGCATGGGTGAGTCAGATGACAACTTCCAACAAACAATTTTATGCTGACTAAGGCAATAACTGGCACTCAATTTATCTTTGAGTTCCTTAATCCAGTCGTCATCAAACAAGTATCGTAGGTTCGAAAAGTCTAAAACTGAAACCCGAATCTTCGTAGCAATTCTTGGAACGAGATTATTGACAAAAAGTGGCATTGGTAGAAAGGTCACCACAAGTTTGTTAGCAATGCTCATAGAACCCAGAGTGGTGCAGTTGGTCTCAGTTGAAATCAATCCAAACGTTTATTACCTGAATTAATACAGTCGATCAAAATCGTGCCAGTTGCTCAATTGAATTTCGCTTGAGGCAAAGCCGCTAGTTTTGGTTTGTGTTTCGTTTTTTATTGGACCGTAAATGGGTATGGCTTCTAAGACAAATTTGGTAATAAAACATGCCACACCAAGGTCGTAGGCCTTGTTATTAATGGTAGCTCAATTATAGCTGTAAAATGTTGCGGATTCCCGATGAGCCATAATAGCTTTTTCTCGGATCACAAAAGCTCCGCAACTTAAATAAACACGTTTCGTCTTTAAAAGGTAGCATCCACTTGGCGCATTCTGGGGAGCCTGAGAAGAGTGGTAATTAAGTGGTTGCGCCTGATTGTGAAGAATGCGGTGGCTGAAGCCAAACGACCCGACCAAGTTTCCAGATACTTTTAGGGTAAAATGGAGACTTACGATCGATTGATGTGCCACCTTTTGTATTTCACTGTAATATTGGTGAGAAAACAGGAAAATAGTCGTAATAGTGATGCTTGATGATTGGAGGTGTCGTGTTTGGTTCTGCTGCTAACTTCTTCATTGCTTGGCGTGGAATTTGCTCACTTAGGCGTATACATTTTTGGAAACTAGCTATTTTATGCTTGACACCTTAAATTCCTAGCAATCTAATGTACCCGAATCATTCGCAATAAATTTAACTAAAAAATCACCAAAAGGCGTCAATTTTGAGCATGAGCACATTCAACATCGGTGTTCTCCATCATCCAGAAGTCAGACCAAAACAACACGCCGCCCCCACGCCGTTCCCCCGTGTTAACCTTGCTCCACCAGCCACGGTGGTAAAATTGAATCCTACTGTATAAGGTTTCGGTACCTACTGCGATGTCAGGCCCTCGTGCTTGGCAAAATGTGTCACGTGAATTAGTCTGATTTCTTATGCTTCTGGGTGGGCTCAACAACTTCGACGGCTACCGCAACGTATGCACGCTAGCACAGTGCATCCCGTAAATACAAGTAGACCTCATTTTATCATTTTTCCCATAGCCGAATCTTGCTAAATCGCATTCATGACGTCTCAATTTCGAAGCCGCCGCCTTATGAACCATTCAATCACTGGCAAAGTCCAGTTAAAAACCACCCACTAAAGAACGAAAACTCGATCAGTAAGTTGTAACGTTTGTTTGACATTTAACTACACCAAACACCACACGGGTCCTTAGCTTACGTTGGTAGCGAATTTTCTGTTAGTTGTTTAAAACAGGAACGCGGTCAACTAGCATGAGTTTACTCTGGATTCCAACAAATCGTTGTGCTTACCCTTCACCAATAATAATTGTCCTACTTTTTCGTTTTCATCTTAGCAAAAAGGCAATCTTAGGAACAAGATTGATTCAACTTAAAGCATGTTAATTCAACTACCAGCTAAAAAAGAGTACCTAGCCATACTTGTTCAGCCCATAGTCTGAAGTTCACCAACGTGTGTGAACATTTTTATTTAAAAAATCGTAAGATTCCTATGGGAAAATTCGTGTGCGAAAGCCGAAAACCCAATAAACATAGCCGTGTAGCAACCTGTTATCCTCGAATTCATCACCGTGGACGTTGCCAGACATCAGTCAAATCGGAATTCCTCGATTGGGTATACGACTCATCGAGACAAACCACTGGCTATTTCAGACTAGACAGGGTAGTGAAAAAAACAGGTACAAAAAAGCAAAAACAGTCATTAAAACCTGGTTTTTTGAACACATTTTGGTGAAAATACTCACGATAAAATATTTCCTATTTTAGCTGGTGTACACTCACAGGAAACTAACGGCGGATACTCCCGCCAGCCCGACGGAGGGTTCTACAGCATATAGCACCCCAGTAACAGCACGCAGTCTTTCCTAACATGTCACGCTGCTTAAGGATACCGGATGTTTTTACTGTGTTTAAAACCCCAAAGGGAAATAGAGATATGCGCTCCATACCACTATATTCACGACTCTCAGCAACTATGTTCAACAAAAAAACAATTTTATTTGAGCACGAAAAACAATAGTGTTATACTTCATGTTGACATAAAAGGACAATACAACTCAATTTAAGTTAGCGAAAATGTAAAATCGGGTTAGAATAAGAAAATGCCTAATTTTCAACTTTGGTCAAGGCGATTAGACTGAACTGCACATCTTCGGGATCTCGTTGCATAAACCGGTCGACAACTTTGCACGCATCTGCCAGGAATGTCTCTGGTGAGGTTTCACCATGTAACACAGGCCCATCGCGACGACCATCTGCAAGGATAATTCAGTGTAATAAGCACTTGCGGTTAATCTTTTTAAAACCCAAACCAAACGCAACCAAAAACCTGCAATACCAAACGGGCACATTTTCAAAGGGGCATACATCACAAATATAACTTGCCTAATTCGAGAAGATGACCACCTGAGTTGATAAACGCAACAAAGTGCAGATTAGTTTCAGAACTCGAGTCCGGTGCCTAGGGTAATAAAAAGAATTTCGCACTTACCTCGGTTTGACCTTGCAGTGCACAGTCTTCATGAAATTCACTTAGTTCCTTCAAAAATATAAATTAGATAATTTCAAACCTCTTCTTTTTCCAGTAGTTCAGCACGCTCCAGAGGAGAACTGTTGCGTGATTTTTCCAGAAATTTTTGCAGCCAAGGTTGATCTAGAAAAAAAACACGAAAAAAGACATTTATAACAAAAATGAATTTAAGAAACTCGCATGTCGAAAATCATGCGGGACCTTAGTTTTGGCTAGTTTCAGAACTACCTACAAACCCTCCAGTTAACAGCTCGAAACAACCCAAGAAGTGACATCGATACATGATTATTCGTAATCGGAACACCACGAGTTGGTGCGAACAACTTTTCAATGACAGGAGAGGGAAAACAGTCAACGTAACTCGGACTGGGATACTTTCTTATGTAATGATAGAAATATGACTACCACAACTACTGAGGTAAAAGTTTAAAGATTACCTAAAAGTAACAACTGAGAAAGAATATGCGAAACACATACAAATGCCGGATTTTTAACGAAAGCATAACTTTAAGCAAGTGAGATTATGACTCACCAGTAATATCTAAGGCGTCTATATTGTTGGCAAGTGCATGAATAATTGCGACGGTTCCGCATGCATTATCAATAGTCTGCTTAATAAAAAAGCACTTTTCTTCATGCGAAACAGTCCCAATACCAATGGACTTGGAATTGTCCGTAATAGGATAAAGGAAAAGTAAAGACAATATTGGGCACGGAACGAGAGCCTGCATTTCAGGATCCGTACTGAAAACATCAACAAAGCACCAGGGTTCCTTAACGCCCAACTCCCTCATAAACTAATGCGTAAATTAAGAAAAAAATATTACTTTGGTCATCACATCGGGATTTGACTCAAGCGGAACCCACCGCATCCTCAGGAATTAGAAATATAATTATGTGATAGAGGGCTACACTTTGCACGCAATAGCCAATAGCAACAACATCATTAGCATCATCAATAATATAAACTTAAGCTTTAAAAATTCGTGTCTAGAAGGTTAAAGCGGTTTTTAATCCTGGCTAACGGGAAAATTGTAGAATGAACCATGACCGTTATGCATTGTCAAATAAATTTACGTTCATCGTCCCACCGTCTTCTGGAGTTTATACGAATAACTTAGTGCTTTTTAGGTGTGAAAAATTTATAGCTGCATAACGTGGCTTTTAGGCAGTCAAGTTCGCGCATCTATTAAAAATTTCAGGCTACAAGATGATAAAGCGGTCGCCTAAATTACATATCTAGGAAACTTTAAGAATACAACCTAATGGATTTATTAAACCATCCACAAGTATACACTAAACTGGAAATCATTGATCAAGTCATTGCCAAATTGACTGATTTTTTGCGATTAACAAACGTTCTGACCCAATATGATCAAATGATACAGTATTTCTGAAACCTTCAAAATTAATGACTTCTAGTACCTAGCGTTCATATACACTCGGACGCCAATTGACAACCACCGAATAGCCGGGATAAGCGGTTGTGCCGCTTTGTCTTCGGCCTCCAGGTCAAACCGTGTCAATGTAGATCGTCGATCCTGAAGCGATTTTCAAAAAAAAACATATCAAGCTTCACATATTCAAGAGCGGAAGAGGGCCTCAACATTTCATTGTCATTGTACCTGATAGTAATCTAAGTAGTCCTTAACATATCTGACCATAAAAACCTACGAAAACGTGGCTTTTAAAAAGATTCGACAACATTGTTGCCAAGGCAAAGCTCGAAAACTTAATAAACTCAATAAAAAGTTTTTTTCTCAAGGACACTGCCATATTAGAACCTTATACACTCAAATTTCGACCGAGAAAAGTTTCAAATCGAATTTCGGAAGATCCTAGGCCCTCGTACACAGCTAAGATGAAGGCCTCTACAATTTACCCAAAAGTATGAGCTTTTTTAAAGCATTAGTGTGTACCATGACCCAGTGCGAGATACTCGTGGGCCGAGAATGTGCACAAACTATCCTATAATCAAACTTTGAAAACCTATGCGACTATCCTTACAGGATTTAACACGCATTGACGTAGAAAAGATCTTATGAGAACTTGTGGACAAGCTTCACTTCAACGATATTCTAGTCTTAAATTCGCCAAATACATTGAAAAGTCATTCCCTTCCGACAACAGAACTGCGTATTCCAGTGATAGATATGGGAATAGGCTTAGCGATATTTCTATTAATCAGCATACATAGAGTAGAGGAAGGTCCGGGTAAACAGAAACGTAGTTCTAACTTCTTAATGAGAAACATGCTTTAGGTTTCTAAATAATCTTGAATCCAAGACTACTGATCCGGATTCAGTTTCGAAAACTGAGAAGTAGTTAACACGTACTCAGCGGCAAAGGGCAGCACAATTTATACAGTAAGCAGGTGAGTGAAGCGCCAGTGTGAAGCAAAATACTGTGGTCCCAACGAAGCGGGGCAGTCAGAACGCTTATCCAAGTTCCATTCGGGCTGAGACGCAACACTTGAAAGGCTTATGTAGACTTCCTTTAATAAGCTGTCTATCTAGGTAAAACGAAATGAGTTCGCGTAAAGGTGAGAATAACTAGGGAATTCGAGTGATGCTATACTGAAAGTGAAAAAGCGAGACGCCTACGTGCGACAATGGACAAATTGAACATACTGCACTAGGCTGGCTTAATAAGTAAATACGACAATAACAAGTACATTTTGTGACCTGAAGAATCCCCTTCTTAAGCCTTAGGGTGCAAAGTTTATTAAAAAGGCAACAGTCTTAATTAAAACACAACAAAATAAACCAAAGCGAGAGACCGCCAGATGCATCACCGCTCAACTACAGCTTCATCCCACGGACCGTTGATGCGACTGTAAGGAAAAAAATAGAGTGCCTAAATGAGTGAAACAGTTGGCGTAAATATCAAGGGTAAATGTCACTCCAGTCACGCATGAAAGTGCTAAACCCCAATTAAACGTTTTATGTACTAAAACAACTTGCACCCCAGAGAGCCACAAAGATTCGTTCAAGCAATAATCGGGGGCGATGGGTACAGAATGGCACACCGAGGCAAAAGTGCTTCTAACATTGGGTCCCAAACTCATGGAGTACAAAAGTTTTGAACGACTCCCCATGGGGTTATCTCTTGAACAGTCACAACCGTTGTGCAAGGAACAATCAGAGGAACACGCGGAACTATCAACAGATGAGCTAACGGAACCTAGTGTGGTTTAAAATCAAACACAGCAGCCGGTGAATAGTTCTTTAAACCTTGAAAATTATACTCATACTTTTTAAAGAACATGCAAACATACTTGTGGTTATGAAAACTAAATTTTTGTTCAAATACACTTGCGAATTGAGACGCAAACAGACGAAATCGCGACAGGAAAACTCTATAACACGATGACTGACTTACTGTTTGGCGTATTGCATCCTGTAGAAGAGTAGTGGAATGCCAAAATTAATTAAAAAGGTCGAGAGTACAACACCAGCGGCAAGCAGCCTCTTGTAGACAGGTTCGATGCTGTCATCCAAGAAAAAAGGCAATAAACTCGCAGCACCAGACGCGCCTAGGCCCACAGTGAAGACAAGTCGAGCGTGTTTTCCGCCGCAGAACTAGAAAATTAGAGACTGAGAAACAGGAACGTATGTGTGGCATAGACCACATCATAAGTGCTCTTTTCGCTCTCGCAGACACCTATCAGTGGCTCATATCCATGCTGAATATTACTCCTATTTTGGTTAAACTCTTCCAAACGAGCCACCAAGAGCTTTTACAGGGACATGAAATCGGTTTTTCCCATGACTATACATACTATACATTAAACCAATTTAAATTAGTCCTTCTATTATTTCTGTATCTAAGATAGATTTTTACTTTTAACAGAGCATGTGTCTACTTCTGTACTAACAAAAAAAGAGTAGTACGAGCAACCATGGTCATAATTGACTAGTAGACCCTTGGTGTTTTTGTTACATAGACCAAAAATTATGTTTGGCGGTCACCTCCAAGACTTTCAATATAAAAAATATTCCACAATTTTAGGGTTATATTAGAGGACTAGTTCCGTCAAAGAATTAAAAGATGGAAACACTTTGGGATGCTTCTGTACCACCAAAAGGGCCTACATGATGCACTGAAAACCGTGGCTTTAAGAATTACATGATATATATTCGAATAATTGGGAATTGCTAAGCAATTTTCGATGATGAGGAGTGTTTGTGCATTGCTACCACGACGCAAATTTGTGGGAGACGCCTACAACTACATGGTAGAATTTTAACGAAACGTCCTACAAAGCACAGATTATGTTATCACCCGTCCCACGCTATCGAAAACTAGCTTTACGATAGTGAAAATGGGGATTGTTGTGTAAATACCGGCAATCATAATAAAAAATGCCTAGCACAGCACTATTGTCACTAAAAAATCGAGTAATTTTGCAATAACGGTGAGCGACATGACGTAAAAACCTGTATACGATGGCGGATAGTGGGCCATGTAGCAAAAACGAGAGTGGCAGAGAGGATCAAAATGAGTGTCTCCTTTGGGCCCGGTAGACGGCTGGCCATGCAAAGCGAGGCAAGGAAGCCAGTGGCTACGGACACAACGTTTGAATCCATGGAACCGTCGGCTCGGGGACCCCGCACTCCATTTCCGTAGGGAATGGACACGAAATTCAAGAGGAGGAAGAGGAAGGTCATGGCGTAGGTGGTATCCGTGGAAACAGTGTCCAAAAGGGAATGCAGAACAGGCGCAAGAGCTGAGCTAAAGACCAGAATAATGAGTCCGGTGCGCAGAGGAGTGGAAACTAGAAAAAGGGGCATCCATGTGACAGCAAAAGATGATTTATTCCAACTTAGATTCGAAAAAAGGAGTTTTGCAAACTTGCATTTATAACAGGAAAAACGCTTACATGTCTCAAAGGTTCGTTCATAAGCGGATAGAGCGAACCACCACCACAATATGAAGCTGCAAAAAGTTGCAAATATCAAGGCTGCGGCAAGCTGTTCAGCTGTCATCCATTCCCAGAGAAGAAAAATAAAAGATGCCACGAAGAGACAAATACTATTGCGATTTAGACAGGTGAAAATTTTCATCTACCAACATAACTGCTGAAAAATCAGGCCCGAATAGAGGACGATAGTTTGTAGATCGAAAAACTGCAAAGAAGCTAAAAGGATAATAGGAAAAGAACTCGAACCATTTTCCTGAAGTCGCTTCAAAAAATCGGGTGGAACCCAATTATCCGGGGTAGTGCGTTTCGCGTAGAGCATTTCCGACTGTAAAGTATTAAATAAACCGAAATTAACTAAACATTAATATTATCGTGCATTACATAGTTTGAAAAAGTTTTGAGGAACGTGTATAACCTAGAGCACTTCTATATTCGAATAGCCTTGTGGGTCGCTGAAAGTTCATTCTAAGGAATACGGACCATTAATTTTGAAGCAGCCACCACATTGAACAATATCATACAGCTGCCGCTATAAAAGATTTAACTTCTTTATCGCACACGATGTATGTACAAACCTAATAGGAGAGTAGCTTTCTACGTATCTACCATGGTGCACCATTGCCAATGGGTGAGTAAAAGGTAACGCGAATTACGGAAAACCCAGCGTAATCGGTTCCGAGGCAACGTCTACACGGGGAAATCGAGAAGCGGGTGATGCTGAGTTTTCTACATTCGCTTCAAATTCATAACCAACCTGAGAAATAAATAAATGGTGCATTTCTTATCGAAATGCGGCTAGGTTGCCTTAGTACCACTGCAGCTCTTGCCGAATTGGCATAAAAGATTTTTGGTTAGACCTGATAAGAACGTTATAAAGAAAGCACGATGAGTATGAGTATAATGCAACCAGAAGTTACTTGGTACCAGTGTTCAATTTTATTTACATTCCCATGAAATTATGCGTTTTATAATTTCTCTCAAAGAACAACACAAATATCTATTCAGTTTCCACGGGGTTGTTCCAAAGTGCTATCTAAGCATGCCTCAAAAAGACGCACAGTAATATTATTTGTAGCTGAAGCCATTTTTGATGCACTATACGGGAACGCCACTGCAAACCACACATTACATTTAACAGAGCATTCCTATACAAATATGTATCCCTTTCATCAAACTAGTTAAAACACTTATATTAGGGTTAAAAATTTTCAAAAAAATATTCAGCATGGGCCAAGATTTTATTTAGTAAAGGTGGTTTACGCGAAAATAGTACTAAAATCGGCAAGATTTAGCTTTTCAAGTCAAGATTATAAACAATGACTAGTAGAAAGAAGCTCAATACGAACAAGCATCGCTAAAATCTAACTGCAATACGATAAAATAAATAAAAAGGAATATATACGACTCCAACAGCAGAAATCAGAGGCAATATTAACGAAAAAAGGCATCCATCACCAAAACTCACCTTCTGTGCACAACTAAAGCAAGTATGCCTCTAACGACTTATATCTAAGAAATATTTACCATGATTTGAGCATAGATTAACTAGCAGGTGCTCGTGGACTGCCCAACACAAGTATTAGTAAAATGTACAATTCTAATCATCGTTTCAGTTTCTTGATGATAATAACCACTAAACCAAAGTCGCACTCAAAACCTGATACCTTGTTTCATAATATCCAAAACCAGCGGTACAGTTTGTGGTAAGTAAAATAAATTACAATAAATTCATGTCGAAATTGATTACGAAGAAGAGATGTAGAATGTTTGCTCAAAATGACTGGACGGAGAGAGATAGTAAAGGAAAACAAATACTTTTAGGCAATTCTGCGTTAATCTAACGGTAACAAAACCAGTAGAATAAATACTAGACTTTGAGGACAAGAAGCATACTATCATTTATATTCGCCATGTTATACAATAGTATTTGTATAATGCTAACCTCCCCACAATAGGCTATGAAAACACCTAATAGAATAAGGGGCCATAGTGAACTTTCAAGGTCAAAAGATCTTAAATAGTGGTAGTCTTATAGACCTAGACTATATATTTATAATTCCTCAACTGGGCATGACATTTACGGCGCGTAGAAATTTTCTATGACATTGAATCAGGATATTTTTTCAAGCGAGGGAACACATTCGAAGAGAAACAAGTTTTAAGACAAATAATGGCTTTTCAATTTCAAAATTCAGTGGAAACACAAGTCGTCTTTGTGGGCGAGGTAGAACATGTACCTCTAAATCAATATCAACTAAAAAATTCAAGTTCTCCTTGAATGAACTAGATTTATAAGCAGTGGGATATGCAGCACCTAAGGGGAATAAAAACCATTTCTTAAACTCTAGGCGGAAGTAAAAAATACTACCTACTAATTAGCGAGATCAGGTAGCGTTGCAAATTGGAAACTATCAGGTTGACGCAAAGCTAATTTTAACGTACAAAATTTAGATTTAAAATGACAAAATTCATGAATAGGGAAATATTTAATTGAGAACACAACCTTCATTGTACCTGATATAAATAAATTCATGTGACATCCAAAACTGAACATGCAATAAAATCCTAATGAATGCTACCCAAAAGGTATGGTAAATCAGAAATGGGGACCTATTTCAATAGAAGCAATTTATCTGTACAACGTTTAGTAGTCAATCTTTTTGGAACGGTCTCTTTTGGTTTTTTACATGTATGTCTCGTGCATTGAGGAAATAATTTAGATGTCGTTGCCATTATTCGAGCAAGTTATTTAAATTAGAAAGTCCGGCTTTGCTTAAAATATTTTGCAATATGTTTGACATTCGAATGATGTTATTTACAAAGGCTACGAAACCTACGCTGACCATGACGTCATTTTTGGAAGAAACACCTTAAGAATGCAAATACGTGGGTATATGCGCTAATGGGTTACGATACTCTTTTGATGTGATTGGCCAATAAGCCTACACGTCTTAATAGTATTGACAATTCGCAGACGTTATCAAAACACTGCGATGATTTTAGTCAATGCTGAGAGGTATATGGTCCTGTTCTCTATTCGGATCAATGATAAAAATACACACAGTCAAGTTTTGAAATTTGCACACACGAGCGAAGATCTAAGCACAAATAAGTATCGTCCAAATTATTAAGAGTAACTTATCAAAGTCAAATAATTCGCCATTTCTTGGAGACAAATCTTAATAATTTCGTATGTACATCTGAATAAAAGCAAATAACACTTGTCAAAAGTTATATTTTCACAAGCTTGCGGCAAGTAAAGGATACTAATTTTGATTTGTCCACTAATTAAAGGTTGGAACTTATTAAACTTATCGCACTTTTTGGAACAAATAGCTTCATAATAATAGAGAACTAGCTAAACATTAAATCAAAATATCTAGATATTTCAAATCGTATAGAAATATCCTCGTCTTTGAACCAACATGTGATTTTTTTAAATCTACTAGTTGGTAGTTGATGTACATTACTTTTGAGTTTCGATTTTTTGGGTTTAGAGCATAGTTAATTAGACTAGTGTGATTATGATTTTATGGATACATTTGGGAACACGGTAAACAATGTACCTATAGCGTATTTTCAATTACTGCTTGAATATAGATCGTATAAATAACTTTTACACAAAAAAATTTAGGCCTCATAATGCTGTCTTTGTAATAGAGGGTTTGGAATCACACTGAGACAAAACACTGGCGCTGAATGAATTTCCAGCGATCAAGGGCAAGAAAAAGGAATAAAAATGGTTTAGGCACGGTCACAGTTTGATGATGCTGATGAGTTTTCATCCGAGCAATGATTTAGATTATTCCGATGATACTGGATCGCACAAGCAATCTACAAGTCTCAAAGGGCTTTATGCCAGTTTTTGCAATCATATACCAGAAACGAGTGGAAATCAGTGTGAGTTTGGCAAGCCAAACGCTCACATTAGGCTTGTTTACTCTAGACGGCCATGTGTTTAATCTTCACGGAGACTGTTGTACTTTGGCACACGTCGTACAATTTGCTCGATCGTGTTGAACAATAATTGTAGCATCCTGTAGGTCAGAGTCTTCGTATTCCTGTAAAACGGAATGATTTTAATTATTTACTTGCAATTTGGGTGACATCAGAAAATGTGCCCGGTCTTGTACACTGAGCACCAAGTTAAGGCCCCTTCAGGGCCTCACAGGGATTGTGCTCAACCAGATGACAACTTACCCATATTTGTGAGCCGCATCGATTTAGTAGTGGACCATACAGTGTGGGATTTTTAACCATGTCGGTGTATGAATCAATGCATTGATAAGTCAGTACGTAAGTAACCATACCAACGAGGTTCTTCCGAAGCGCCATTTACTAACTTGCAATCTTTAAGGACAGGTATCATAGAGATAGGTCCACTTTCGTAAAATGCAGTTCATTCCACTACGTGGGTGTCAGGGACCTTTCCTAATATTGCACTGATGTTGTTAAATCCCTTCGAAATTCATACCAGTGTTCGCGACGAAGTAGGTGGAATTATTCTCCACAAGCTCTTGGTAAATGACTCAAAAGAATAAACCTTGTAAATCTACTACTATTTTCTAAATGTGCGTTCCATCACTAAATAGGACCAGACTGTGAGAAGCCTGCGGCGGTGTTTGTCAAGTGTTCTAATTTTAAGGTTCGCGGTGTCCTTGTTGGTTTTACACTCAAACCAGATTGAGTAAGGAATAAAAAATGATTTGACTGTTGAAGTATCAGTTGGGCTGTCATCTGTGGGGAAATAACTTGGATAGGAGTTTAAAAAGCTCCTATATTGGCAAATCGAGCCTGGATAATTTTGGATTCCAACTGCAGGAACTAAGGCCACCGAATTTCGACAGCCTAAATGCTTCCTAACGGACACTTGCTGCTTATCTAAGGATATTAAGACTCCCGATTTTGTTAAATTCCAGCACTGAAGAACACATACCAGCAAATTAAGGGGTTTATGCACTTTTTTATCCTAATGGCTGATTTTACCCAATGCCAACGAAATTTACAAAAACAACTTTATTCCTTTTATTTAATGCAATGACTATTACAGCTGAGAGTTCAAACATTAGAGATCATGTTAAGTATTACTTAGTCACACGACAATCACAGCTAATTGATCCTGCTTTTATTTTAACAGAAATATTTGAAATTAAAGTTAGGTAATTCTTCCACCTTCGTTTTAAGAAGTATTTGGCTTTTATCAGTAGTATGGACGGTTAAGTCATCATATCACATTGAAAAACAAATTTATTGTTCCACCCAAATGACTGCAAATTTAAGGTAAGAGACAGAAATCTCTGCTCACGTTCGCACTTCAAATGATTTTCTGTTCGATTTTAGGCCGAATTTTAATAAATACGAGGAGGATTTGTGTATGAAATATCAGCTACACCCTTCCATCTTCTACGTCTCTCGCCCATGTATTAATTATTGTATTGGGCACTACCGAAAAACTAATTGCTGGGTGCAATGATTTCAAGCAAATCGGGACCTTTTGAATCGGTTACTTGCATTAAATTTAAAAAAAAGTAGTAACGCGAATTTGTGACGTTATTTGCTTCATTATTGCTTACCACCGTGGACAAGATTAAAAACAGCATGCTTGAACAAGTGGATGTGAAAATGTATTTGTCAACGTAAAATCGTTCCCTGTTCCTCAGTTTAGTTAAGATGGACCAAAACGACTCCGATAGGAACGATGTCAGTAGATCCGATAACAATGTTTTAGTAACGTTGAAGACGGATGGGAAGAAATCCCGTTGTCTTATTTACACAAGGTACTAAGAGAGAGAGAGACGAGTCCGAAAGAATCCTCTTCACGCACACAACGCGCTAGTATCGGTGACCAGGAGGTGGTCAATATGGTGGGAGGCGTGGTGGCATTGGATTCTGACTAACTCTTTCACGAGTGGGAAGACCAGCACGGTGACGGGTGTACAAGTTGACTCAACCGGTACCTCTAGAAGCCAAGTCTGCGGCAATTAGGGATGGTGCCGACCGTGTACAAATGTGGCCACGCTTGGCATGCGAAAAAATCGCTATTGTTTTGCGTCTTTGGCACACCTTTCAGCATTTGAATCCAAAATCCCTTATTCTCACAGTCAATCATTCCTGGTTTAAATACGAAAAAATTCAAATAGGTTTTAACAAAGTAATTTCATGTGTTAGTTCCTCGTTGCACTTCTAGAACCAGAGGTTAGCGTCGTTCAGTGGCAATAAAAAGGCCTATCTAGAAAAACGTTTAGACATTACTTGGTCAGGTCTACCAATGTCGGGTAAACAGGTACAGGAAGCAACAATTAAATTTCCTTTGAATGAGGTCGACCCAAACTGTCATTGTCCAGTTTGCGGATGGATGGAGACTGAAGATGTCGCCTCCAGAACACGCTCCCAGTCATGTATGCATCAGTTTGAATCGGTTGCATCTTTGAACTAAGTAAGTCACATACGTCAAAAAATGTTTTCAGCATGACCCAGTCAGCCACGCTGTAACCCTCGTGACAACCATATTCTGCTATGAAGTCATGCGTGTCGGCAATGGTTACCAAGTTTCGGTAGCTTTAATTCAACTCAAATCGCCTTTTTGTACTTGGTGGATGTTAGCCTGAGCACATGATTAATCAAAAGTCATGCATCATCTTTGATTTGCAATTTTTTTCATAAAAGTGCTTCGAAATGTATGAAATCAGAAATGAAGTTCGCGTAAAACTTTGAAAAAGATCAATTCAGCTCGGAAATAAAATTTGTTTTCGAAAATTGCTTAAGCCAGCCGAGCATGTAAAAAGTAAAGTTGCTAAGTTATGATGCATCGAAATGTCAAAGTTTGAAGTAGCTTCACCAATACAATAATTGTTGTCCATCGAATAGGATTTCGACCACACCCTGTTTACGCAAAGCTAAACCAAATTTTGGCCGGCATTGCAGGAAGTGCATATCAACGTTAACTCGTCGCTACCGCGCACCAAACCGCCGTCCGTACAGCTCTTTTGTGTACATTTAGGTGTCTACAGTTAAGTCATTTAGAGCTACAACATAAGCTGGGTTACCAGCAGAATTATTTTTAACAATGCAACGATGTGTACCAATTTTGGGCACTTTTCCCGGCCCCGTTTGGCTGACCTGATCTCAAGCTGTGGGATTCTGAATGACGGCGGTGTCACCCAAGGCGTCGAATTTTTTCACCACCGACTCTGATTACGTAGAAGACGTTGTGATTGCTTACAAGAGCTTGAAATTATTTGGCTGAATCCCAATAACAGTAGATTCGGCAAGCTTTGCTGAGGCATAATGAATTATGCATTTATTGCGAAGATTTATTGCTCTTAAAAATGGTGGTGGCAGCTCCCAGTGACGACATTTTGATAGAATTAGTCAGATCGAGATGACGTGAATCGACTATGTAACCTGAAAGAGGAATTCACGAGGAAACACACAATTATTCAGCATTATCTCGGACAATCAAAATTTTCGTGACTGTAATAAACTCGATAGAAAGTGAACTGCGCTGCACCGTCTAAAAAGACGAAACTCCTTTCCACCACTAGAGCTAAGTTTGGTTTAACTTAGGAAATTGGCTAACTGATGCAATTGGCGGCCAGCTTGGGTCTGTTCCCAGGGAAACCAGCTCAAAATGTGACAGTCGGTCGAGGCATCAAGGACTTAAGAGCCAGTGCAGCTGCGCGTCTTTGCATCCCCTGGCAATTGGAACGTAGCTGTGTGCTTGTTTTGACCCAACTGCCTAATCTTACCTTTGTCAGTGATCAACTTTGGAAAAAGTCTATACTGACGTCGGTGGACTTCTTCCAGAATTGTATTGTGAGCACCACAAGATTCGAATAAATTTTCGTAGCGCTTCTAACGCGTTCCTTGATTCCATGAACGTTTGCGCCACGGACTTGGACATAACGATTTCGCCACACCAAGATTTCAGTAATAAAGTACCGCCAAGTTATCGCTTTATTAACTTATTGGTCATCGAGTTGAATGCTTTTATCGACACCTCCCTCATAAGTTTGCAATACCTTTGATCAATACAGACCACCACCCTTTCCTGTAGAATATCACCTTGGTCCCAAATATCATTAATATGCGAGACAAATACAAATTAACTATGTGACACTAAACTGCAAAAAATGAATTAGTCACCACAATAAAACTTTGGTTCAAAAACCTAAAGGCCTATGGTAGTACGTAACCATCGACTAATCCCCGAATTCGGCTGTATGTCAAGGACAAGTTTGGTTCGTCGAGTAATCGGATAACTATAAAGCCGATTTCATCAGATCCAACGCATTGCGTCGCACTGAGTTCACGGGCGCATTGCAGTGCAATGCCCGGGAAAACGAGTTGAACAAGGTTTGTACCGAGAAGTCACCAGACCGTCCAATAGCCCAGCGCAGCACCCTCTGAACAACTAATTTTTGATTGTGTAATAATTAGCAAAATTTGCGTGTATTCGGCACAATCCCGACTAACGAAGTTGCATTTGTGCTAACTCGCCACCATCGAAGCTTGTTATGCCTGCGTTTTCAACACTCAGTCGTGGTTGTTTACCATAAATATGCATTGACCTAAGAACGACGGCAGTCTTGGATACTGCAGACAAGTGGACGGAACGTTAGTTGTCTCATCGCTGATCTTCCAGCTTACAGCACAGTATCTTAGAAAATTATTAGTCAATGAAGCCTTAATTTCTTAATTACATAGTCTCAGTGGTTTCGGACAAACTAAGGGTGAAAAGGACAAGAAGAAACTAGGATTATTTCAAGGCAATTATGTCTTAAACGCTAGTATTCGACTCGGATTCAGCTTCGAGTAAGTACACTTCATTAACTCTTTGCCACCCCTTTTTTTACGATCGCAGATTTGCATGAATTTAGGCCAAGATGCACGTGGATTTCCACAATCCAATCGTCTCCCGGAAAAATTATGGACGAAATATAAAGGGCACAAGTCGGTCGCAATGAATTACATAGACCATAGCACGGAGTTTAGTCACAGACGAACTATCACCACTACACTGTGGTGGGAAATCACGAAGAAGGCACCGAGATGAGCGGCAGATAATCAGTGCAACACTGCCATGTGCGCGGACACAAAACGTACAACCTTAGTGAAATCAATCGTAGGTCAAAGATGCATGGAGGTTCGAAGGTAGAAGTAATACTAAGTCATACAGAGGACTAAAAAGAGAAGTGTTGGGGGGGTTACTAGATGAAGCCTAATGCTGTCCCTCTTCGGTGTTCTCGTTGTTGGCGTTGATAGAGATCATTTGAAGACCCAGCTCGAGACGTTCCGTGTTCTCGTCCACCTCATCTTCCTCTAGAGTTGAGGCCGGGGTGCTGCGACCAGAAAGACGGCTCGGGCTCGAACCACGAGAGGCACTGGGGGAGGGTGGAGCAGAGAATGGACGACACAGTCTGAAGCTCTTCGCGGAGGCTGTTTCTTCGGCATCGGAATCACCTTTTGGAGCCGGTTGGGTGAAGAGGTCGGGACGCTGACGGTAGAGCGCGACCATACGAGCACGGCTGTAGTACTAAGCATAGGAAAGAAGGTGCAATTTTAGTCGACATCAAAAAGGATTCATGTGATAGCATGGACGCAGCTTCAAGTTCATTTCCACCCACAGATTAACGATGTCCAAAATATTAAAAAAAGTTAAGTTTTCTTCCCCACTCTAACACGAGTTACCCTTGTTCATATATTGCTGCGTCATTAATGTGCTACTTTTGCTTTCATTAACCTTCCCCCAGCAAGTCACCGTCTTACGGATTTCAAATTACACCTAACTATGCGCGAAATCAATGTTACCACAGCTTCCCAGCAGTCTATCAAGGGGCAGTTGAACTTCCCGCTACCTACGTAGGAAGTGATTTCAGAGTTCTTAACTCGACTTATAACAGAAATGTATTGCACAAAAGGAAAAATGAATAATTTATATCACGTCTTATGCCATGCTTTCCCTTAAGGCTTGTTTACCACTTCTTAGCAGTCAAATTTGACATATTGCCTGATTTTACAGGACCGGAGCAGGCGGCTTAACACCATCACGGTTCAGCATAATTGCCGACAGTGTGTAATTGACGGTGACCCATAACTCGAACCTGTTATCGTGATCAGCATCTGACGGCCAGTGGCTCATTGATGAATTAAGATGCAATCAGCGTCTCTGTACCCTATCTGCGGCATAGCATCAATTCTACACACACACACACACAATGATTTAATTGGTTGCATTAGTGCCCTTACACACGGCCTCGAGGCGCCTGCATGAAAACACCCGAGAATGACATGGCCACACCCCTTGTGTGACGCGACATGCAATGATGAACGTGGGTACTGAAAAAAAAACGACCGAAGCTTACGTTGAGCTGGTCACCTGAAATAGTCTACTAGAATCGCGGGCACAAAATTTCGTAGTTGGATGCAAAAATGACAAGGTAATTTAGGAGAAAGAAAACTGTCATGATTTGTTTATGCCACATAACGCGAAGCACTGTACGCAACCATTTACGTTTGTAATAAGATAGGCATAAATAACCAATTTAAAAATAACCAGTGACCATTCAATCAACAAGATCAGTGATAACGTTGTCATTAATTATAGAAAGTGAACATTAAAGAGATATCCAACTTGAAACGAAAACCGCCAAAAGTAGACAGCATCACTGAATGTACGCCAGTTTTTAGTTGAGATCTGAGAGAAATAATTATTACTGACAACAAAAATATGGCGGCCACGAACGACACATGACTATTGGGTTCTGTGAAGTGCAAAATTTTCCCTGCGTTTATAATTAATGGCGAGTGACCTAGAGGCACGAATGAGTCATCGCCACATCTTGGGGTTACAGAGAGGATGTAGGACATGTAAAACTGCCATGTTTATAGAACCATGCGCGTAGAAAACTGTTTACTACACGAGGCGCTACACTGGGGATTTTGAGCACCAACTAAAGAGTAGGCCGATAGAAATGGAACTGGGTAATTAGCTACTTACAGACAGTTTAATTCGGTGACTTCTTGCATTTCAATCATGCATATAGGGACTCAGTTGTTATAACGGTGTCAGCAGTGATAGATTAAGTAAATATCGTTTTTCTGATAAAGAGACAAGCGGGATAATGTTTTACATAAAGTGTGGCAGTTGTGGAATTCAAGCGGCAGTTGAAATGAGCCATTCCTGTGGAAGAGTGAAATCGGGCATACACAGACGCTGAATTCAAAAGAGTTAGTCATCCCTAGCAAAAACGGAGTTGCACAAAGTATAAACATCAGACGTCAGAGACAGACTTACCGCTCCGAGGTTCTTCCAGTCAAGCAACTCGCTAAGACGCTCGGTCCGGTTTCGCAAAACAACGCGCTGTCTGCGTGAGTACTGACAAAACTCGTGGAGGCACTGTGAAGTAGACAAGAGTAACGAGTGCAGGGCAGCGTCAACATTAGATATATACTTAAAAATAACACTTGTCTACATTCACCTGCTACGCAGTGCAGGGACTATGATACTACGAAGATGCAGAAACCCAAAAATTACAGAAGGACGATTGCGACACAATTCAAGATCAACATTGCTAGCAATGGTGTCATGATAGAGTGAGTAATAAATGGTGCACCGGTGTTTAAATTAACCACGAAATTACAACGTACCCTAGTCAATTGCTCGACCGAGGCATCAACGCTCTGGAAGCGACGATCTACTACATAAATGCCATAGGAGGCTGGGTCCTCAATATGCTCTTCCATGAAACAGCCGAAACCCGAGAGGTTGGTTGTGACCGATGGGATGCCCATGACTGTGCACTCGGCTAAAAATAATGGAGCAAAGCCATAAGTTAAAAACGCCTAAAAATCAACGGTTACAAAGTCAGGTGCGCCCAGAAGTGTAGTTTTAGTTCTAGATAGAATGTGGTGCCAGTATCGAGACTGAGATTTTGGCAAAATTTAGCCATTTGTAACTCCGCTGTCGTGGGGCACGAGGATAATTTCGTGCTGGTTGTTTCGATTGGAAGGGTCACAGAAAGTGATTTACTAAGCAATACCATGCTACATAGCATACTACGTTCAGTGATTTTAACTTAATCCGACCTTACCGTTACTTTGAGGCGATTAGTTAGATTAAGGATAATCAAGAATAAGACGATCTTACCGGGTGTATAGCCCCAGGGCTCGTAGTACGAAGGGAAGACACCCAAGTGGCAACCTCTAACAAATTCCTCGTAGTCCATCGGAAGAAGAGGGTTTGTGGAACTGAGAAATTCTGGGTGGAAAATGACCTAGGAGGATCGGAAATGGCCTTTTAAGGTGAGTACATGACAAGTGGAGAAACGTATGTATAGATAAAAGAGCGCACTGATTAAATTGGAAGGTTAGCGAGCTGAATAAAGCAAGGGCGAGTTGACATGGTAACAAGCGCAGGCACTAAGATTGATTAATTCTGTTTCAAATGTCACATCCACGTTACCTTGGAAGAAAGCGTTCTCTAAATGTCATCATTTCCTTTAGGCATTAGAATGCAAAGCTATGACAAACCTCATTTCACAAAGCGTTTAAGATACCGACACTCAAACTAATTCATAGAGGTAGCCAAAGACCTTAAATTCTGCTTAGTAGACAAATAATAGCTACATTAGAAATCCATATAATCACAGGTCAGACGACAGATTGAACTTTGAGTTATAGTGATACCGACAGGATGGCGGCTAAGTTGTCACACGACGCATTTGCAGAATAAATCTTGAGGTTTTGTATAAAAGGAGTATTCAATAATGATGAATCACTGTCAGCACAGTCCCTGTTTTATTGAACTACAAGACTGTCACTAACGATGGCAACCTGAAATTGTACTTGGCTTAACTTTTTTGTCAAATATAACCTGTATATCAGAAACTTTCAGGAAGATGGCAAAGGGCAGTGGGTAAATAGAAAATCTATGAATTATTAGATCATTCTTTGAATGCAAGAATGCTTTTTTATACCACAAACCTGAAATTGCTTTCTTGCCAACCTATTGCTTCCGCTTGCACGGCATATGTTAAAGAGGCCTGCTTGATTTAATTGAGTTTCTGGCTTATGGAGTGAAATGCGTTGAATGAACATATCGGCGCTTCACAAGTAACAAAAGGTCACTGCACCATGAGACTGCGACCGCACTGAGCACAAAGCGGACACACTGTGAGTTTGCTTGACCCATGCGTACAGAATGCGGTGGTGGTTTGTATGAAGTGGATATGCGCGCACGCACGTAGACAGAAGGGAGACGTGCGCATGAGATGGAAGCCGATGGCTGAATGACTTGTGGTGACAGTTCAAGAAAGGAGCAAAAGTGTGCGCCGCCACACCATCATTCCCCGATCAACACGAGTCTGTCCATGAAATTGTATTTTTTGGTTCTGGTACTCGCAAATCCAATAGTTGGATAAAACCCTTTCATCAGCTTTGACACGTATAAACTAACTAAGCACCAGACTCTCGGCCATTTGAGAATGTTAGATACTTTTATAAATAAAAACAGCAAGTCAGCGGACCATGACGTTTAGTAGTTTAGGTTTTGATAATGTAACACTTATTGCAACCATGTAAAACCATACATCGACTGAAGTAATTTTGTATATTTAAATAATGCATTACATTTCCAGAGACGTCTACGATGGAAAGTGTAACAGCTTACTTTGACGCGATCGTATCGGTTGTTAAAAAGCCGGCATCGACGCAGGTTACAGAGCACCAGGTCAATGCTGTCCTGTACAATGTTGTGCGTGCAGATCGGCGGTAAGTTGTTGCGCTGTGTCGCGTAGATACAGCGTTTTAGCCTGACAATGTCTTCCTAAACAGGAAAAAGCCAGCTTACAGGGAGCACATTCTCTCCCAGAATGAATCTACCCAGTATGGTATAAGTTTTTCAATAGCGAATAAAAAATTTAAAGTCTTATTTCACATCCGGATTTCAATAAATTTTCGTAATTCAGGTAAAAATCAATCCCATCACCTACGTTGCTTATAAAATTACCAAAATTTAAAATTCATTAATCCTTATGGAGTGATATTTTTAATCTCAACTTGCTTAAACGACTAGTTGCCATTTAGCACTTCGATAAATCCACTTTTGATGAGACTGACCTGCTGAAGGACGTCCTCGCCAGTGGGGATACGACCTCGAAGACAGACCTCAAAAAGTCGAGTACCCATGTCTTTCTGGATATCATTGACAGTCTCTCGCAACTGCTTGACGATGGCCTGTGCCCGGAAGGAATCTACGTTGAAACTGTTGGTGGCCGCTGGAAATATCAGGAAGGCAACGACTGTCACATCGCTCCCCTGCTCCTAATGGTGCATAAAACCACAAAGACATCAGTAAAGCTACCCTCGAATAGCCTGCTAAACCAAACATGATGTACAATACACTGGTAGAATACGGTGTTAAACTGCCTCAAAACCTCATTTGCAAAGCTATGAAGTCTAATAACGGTAACTATCCCAGTCCATTATCGCGACACAAGCAATAAACTGGAGAGGTATGTGAAACTCGATGTTAACATCATGGTTTAAGAGCGGGGCAAACAACCGAAATCGTAGATGTTTAGGAATTTGCCTGCATCGTCAGAGTTCACACACAGACTATCAGGCCGTTACCCAAGCTGGTTTTGAAATAATCAAGGGTGAAATAGAAAAGGATAACAACAAGATTTTTGTCAGTTGAGAGAGGGCAGACCGAAATGTCGCGAGCGCCCAATTATTCCATCTCTGATCAGGAGCACATCCAGGAGCCTCTTAAACACAACTGAGTTAGTGGATCCAGGAAAAGTTGAATTTCAACCATTTAACGACAAAATAAATTAGTTTAATTAGACTTAAACCCCATGAACACAAGAGATTTATGTGGTCAGTAACATCAAATCCAGACACTTCGTCTTGTTCCAAACGAATGGGCGTTGGTTCTTAAGACAACTGTCCATCGGGAATGCTACTGCGTCCACCAAATGGTTGTACATGCAAACGATGACTTTGGTACCCCTTGCGCACAAAAGGAGATCAAAATCTCAAAAGTGACAGTAAAAAATAAATATATGCCTGGACACGCATTTCCAGATACACTTTAAGTTTAGCATGTTTGTGACAGAAAACATGCCTAGATCATCAAGAAATAATTCAGAATCTCATCACGACAAACACGATTATTTGCAACAAATATTTAGAACATTTTTACTAAGCATTGTCAAGTAAAAGGGAGGAAAGATGCCACTATTAATAGAATGGTCCTAAAAACGGTACTTTTACAATTCAGCTAAAGCACCAAAAGTAAAGTCGCTGGCGCATTCTGACCGGGCAACATCGCATGCCAGTGATTTAACGCATGAAGTGGGTTAGCCAATAGAAGAGCGGGAATCGGTGGACGTGCCACACATGGAAGCACGTACCGAGAGTCCAATTGTACCACAATATCGATAGCGAAGGCGAAAAACACCTTTATGACCCTGAAGTTTGGTTCTACAAGAAAGTTTCTAAACAGACAAGGGACATTTTTTTACGCTGGCCCCAATCGCACACTAGCACCCACAAGGCACAACCGGTGACTTCAACTTCGGATTAAGTCAGCGTAATTTCCTCACATAGCACTATGACACGCATCGAGGATAGGTGTAAGGTCGAAAATATCAGTAACAAAAATACCTGCAACCGGTGGTTCAGTCGGGCGAGGGCTTCAATAAAGATATCGGCCCCCTTGTTTTGAAATTCATAGCGACCGGCGATGAAGAAGTATAGCGTCTTATCCAAGTCGAAGTCGTAGTGCCTGAAAAATTTAACACAATATTCAAACGTTTATGGGTTCCCCACTGTCCTCCTGTAGTGTTAGGCTGATTCTGGCCACAATACAGTGAATAACAGAATAATGAACACACAAAGCCGCAGGGGTGAGTTAGACAATAATGGTCATTTAGAGGGGTGCCTTTGAGAGGATTAGAACGTGACTGAATGAATTGGCGAATACACTGTAGGCTTACACGTTAGTCCCTGAAAAAGAAAGTAATTGGAAAAAAAGATTACCCAGGATTTGGACATAAAACAGGCAGAAACACGTGTAGTTTCGACATCTGCTAAAGGAAACCAAAGTCAACACTAACACTAGCTTTTCATTAATCGTTTTTGACTGTACCAATGGATTTGAATGCAAAGTATTAAGGAACAATATTAGACGCTTAGAAAAACCAAACAGTAGCATTATCCAGATTACAGGAAAAATCAAATGAAATATCATGCTCTGGCAGGCTGAATTACCGTATAATCTACGAGATATGGCTCAATTAGGAATGAAACAGCAGAAAGCTATTTTCAGGGGTATTTAGAGATATGCTTTGATATACTATTTTTCGGACAATCTAAAATTGACATAAATTGTCAAAACTGCCAGCAGCATTAACGGTGTGGCAGTGTACAAAACTCCATGACAGGATTTAAAGCTAAAGCTTCGACCAATAAAATTAAGCATATTTTAACAAAACGCTGCAGATTATGTCCGATTGGACTCAAAAACAGATCACAACCTGACATTGAATGCATTCTATGTAAATTAAAACCACGCTGACTAACCCGTAAAAGTGGCCTTGAATGAATTGGTGTAATTTTTGCTTAGCTATTGCATGTCGATTTTGAAACTCATGAAGAGCTGCAAACTTTACGACATTGAGTCCGTTGGGCGTTATTATGTCAGGTTCACGTTGAAGTAGATATTTGCTCTCCAGGCCAGTGATCTTACTGACAGTTGTAAAGGCGTGAGCGCAATAGACAGCAGCTCGCTCCAAGCAATATCTGTGGTAAATATTACGATCACCAGCTTCCTAAAGCCATAAAGAAAAAAAAACATTAATTATTTTAATAATTAAAGTCATGGTCATTAGGGTAAGTGTTGTATCTAAATTAAGTTGCCGAAGCAACTCTCGACAAACTTTATTTGATTGTGAATTTGATTCAATCGTAAATAAACATAACACAAACGTTTGTGGAAGGACAATAACTAAGACGTGTGGCAAACAAAATCTGCATAAAAATTAATTGTTTTGTGAAAGTAATCTGATACTGGAATGGAATAGGAATTGAACACATAATATATCGTACCTTATCAAGGTCAAATTTATCCAAATTGTTGTATAAGTCCACGGATGCAGCACACAGATATCGTCCAAGAAGGGTGGCGTGCGTGGTAAAGATGGTAGCCACGTTAATGTGTCGCGTCCGGGTAAAAATTAGACCAGAGCCTGCCAGCCACTCGTGGAAGTGAGCAATAATGGGAAGTTGAACACCATCTGATTCAGCATCTAACTCATCTCTAAACTAAAAAAACATAGTGAAATTTAAGAATAGAGCAATGATTTGTTGCAATTTATAGGCAATGCAAACGAAAAGAACAAACAACATAAGCTCACTTCTTTCAAGAACCATGCGACAAGAGCTCCGAAAATAAGCGAATCGTTGCATTCACTGTCATGCACTGGTATTCCGATATTACAACTATCCCAAAGTTCTTTTTTCCATGAATCTATACGCCATGCGGACGAACCAATGTCAAAGAGAAGGACGTACGGATAGCCCTCAATCAGCCATCTCCCAAAGACCATCTAAGGGAATAATAAAAACTGAATATTCATCACATTTATATCATGCTCCCGTAGTTTTTGGATCGCACGTTTCAGAGGTTCTGATGCAGGTTCAACAATGTCGACTTCTGTCCTCATACAAACCTCGTTCAGAGGACCAATGAGAACGTATCTATCTCCAAGCTCCTCGACGGTGGTAGCAGCTTTCGTTCTAATAACAGTGTAAATGCCACCAACTAAAATCATCAGAAAAAGACAAACAATAAGCATAGATACATACATGCGACAAAACAAGAATAGGTAGACCAAAAAGAAATCAAAAATTGGAATTCAATGAGTACTTAGAAGTGTACCTTTGTTGACAACTTCCCATGCGACTTCAAAAACATACTTTTGCTTGTACATATCTTCGTCAATAGTTCGATCTAGCCCCCAAGCACCTACATTTGCAGGTATATCTTTGATAAATCGACCAACACTCGCTCTCCGATGCATGTCCAATAGTGCCTTGACTACCCGCCAAAGAGTTTAAGGCGTCCGCATATTTTAGTTGGTGAAGTAAAACAACTCCACAACACACAATGTGACACATAAAAAGTAGCATTCAACTCTTCAAATGTAGACTTATAAGCAAACCTGCACAAAAAACTTCAGTTCAACTACTTAAATTGGAATTTAAAGTTATTTTCACAAGGTAATCTGAAAAAATTTAATTTTTTTTGATGATAGTTTAATGAAATTTTGTTTCTCAAAAGGAAAGTATTTTTTATCCCCTTCCAATCTTTGCAGAATATCAGTAAAGCCTTGCTGTTTGCATTATTCTTATAATACTTCATTGTGCGAAGATATCAAAAGCTACTAACAATCTTTTCTTCAGAATAATCTTACTCCAAATTAAAATTTGTCGAATTTTTTCACTTAGCATACATTATGTACCCGATTAGGTTAGGGGAATTCAGCGATCGTCGCTAGCGACCCTAAATACCATATATTTCCTCTCAGAGCATCAAACTGTTGCGTTAATTTGTTTGGTGTCTAATCGCCTCACATGAAAAAAATGGATAAACATATCCTCAACAGAGGAATTTTTTGATAGAATCAAAATATGTACAAGTGCTTTTTAAGACAATTTCATATTAATTCTTCGATTTTTCGCACATTCCTTTAAAGAAGCAGGGCAATTTCACTTTATTTTAGGGACAATCAAGGCAAGCTGTGCATTTATTGAAAATTTGTAGTCGATTTATTTTCTCCGTAAGAATCAGTGCCGAAAGTACTGCGGAAATTTTTTCGTATCAAACATCAATGACTATAGGTGCAATTTGTTGGTTTGGAAAAGTTGCAAAATTTTCGTATTGACAACCTACTTCCATACCTCCTGGTGGTTCACAAATTATGATTATTGTTCTCATTTTTAGAATCAATACTAACTACGATCAGCAAATATAATTTTAAAGGCTAACAATTAAAAATAATTTTTCGCTATATTTGTGATGAAAAAGTTTTTATTATTACCTCAGACTGTCGGTTTTACTTGACCACTATTGGCTGACTCTTGATGAATTTATCAGCGCGTAGTTTATCTTGATGGCTGGTGACTCGAATCCATTTCTTCAAGCCGGAAGAAAGATATCGTAAGTTATGAAAGTTGAGTTACTTCTTTTAGTACATCTGGTGTGACTTTGTATCACATCCTTGGCGTCCCAAAGGGTGCTGATGAGGACGATATAAAGCGTGCCTATCGAAAGGTGACTTTCCTCTATTCTCTTTGGAAAATATCTGCCCTTGGAACTTCTTACAGTCTGTCTTACCGGTTTGAAACTAGGTTCTGTAATTATTGTTTGCTTAAATTAGTCTAATAATTATCTGTACTCTTTTTTTCTGAATGTTTGTATTTCCCTGTGTATGGTTTGCTATTTTCAAAGTCGCAATTTTTTTCAACCATTAAATCAAAGAAACCTTTAGTGCCTGTAATTTTTTAATGCTGCACTTTCCGTTCAAGATCTTTCTTTGACAGGGAGTGAGAGTCGAGTTACCATTTTTTATTGACACTTTTGATCATTTAATCAGATAATGCCTTTATTTATTCTAACCCCAAAGTAACCCACACAGGGTGACTGTTTAACACACTGCATGCTACTATGCCAAAGCATCTAGAATTAACAATTTCGTCCTAATAAATGGTGTTAAATTTATATAGTGTTATTTCGAAAACGGCAGAGAATCCTTTTTCACTGGTTTACCTTGAATTATTTTGTTAAACAATGCAGGTTATGATAGAGTTTTTTTAATTTAACGCCAACGTTTTTGTATTCTTTCAGTCCTATTAATTATTTGGTCTAAAATATAATATTTCCTCCTGAATTAAAGTGATCGTAATTGGTTTATCAAATTAGTCGTGTTGTCATTTAGCATTTTGTCTGTTTTCTTAAACATTTGCTGATTTAGTCAGACCCGATTACTAAAAATGGCCATTTGAATGCAACATGGTACACATACTAATTATAGTACACTTCAAACCATTAGAGTATTTATACTGTTGCGTGATGCATAATATTGCGTCCTGATGTTTTAAATGCAATGTCAATTTAGTTCTGGGAACACAAAACAGTCCCGGGACTTCTTAATTTTCTCTGATAATTAGAGCTTTTACCGCAGATTAATTGTGTTTCATTGATTTGTGTTACTTAAGATCAGTTGCATAACTTGCATGATTCTTTATTTCTCTAGGCCGCTTTACGGTTCCATCCCGACAAAAATCCAGACAATCCTGCCACAGCTGACGTCGTGAGTATAATTTATTGCCAGTGACTGTGTTTGACTATTAGAACCAATTTTTTACCTGAAATCGCTTTATTAATGTTTTATTATAACCCCAATCTAATTGGAAAATAATTGATTGTATGAAATGGTGTAATTGGTACATAACTCTTAATATTTACGTGCACGACCCCATGTTTCTCTTTTTCCCGTACCGGCAAATTGTTCGTTTTAAAATTAAACAGTAATAATAAACAAATATCTTGATATACGATGTCATTCCTGTGAATATTAACAAATACTCGTCAGCAGCACCCTTTGTTAATGTTAACCTTCTTACATAAACTTGAAATGAAGCTCGTGGAAAATGATTTGCATCACTTCAAACTATTATGGATTCAATATGATGGTGCTAGTCGGGAAAAATCAAAACTTATGGATGTAATGCCATCCAATTCGCTGCAACAGATTGGGCTCTGCTCAGCATTGTGGGCTATTACATGACAAAGTTTACTTCTTAGGCTGTTATGTAGAGTTGGATTTGCAGAGCTAATAAGACCTCACAAAGGTCCCTGTGCCTTCGTGCTTTGTTTGTTCAAGCGTTTGGGGTTCGCTGTTTTTATGTGGTGTGCCAGCAAATCAAAACACGAGCTGGGGATCAATTGGAAATATCATTGTAGGATTAAATCTTGTTGTAAAAGGCGTGGAATCACCTATCTTTTAGTACTTCTCTGAATAACGTTTTTTTAGTGTACTCTGGCTTAAATCCTAAATTAAGGCAGACAACGTGGTTACGTACCCAAAAGTTTGGCTCATGCTCTGTCCCAGTTTATTCGTTTATGTCGCATGTAGCTGCGTTCAATTATCTTCGCATACAGGTTTTTCGCCCTAGTAAGAGTGATATCAACGACAATGTCGTAAATTGGCTGGAGCCATTTTCACATTGGTGATGCACCCAGTTTGTTCTTGAGTGTGGCCGGAAGTGCCTGACAGGTTTTCGTTCATTCAGACGATAATGTATCCTAACTACCTTTGGTCCTTTCAGTTCAAAGATATCAGCAGAGCCTACCAGTCATTAATTGATCCAGTTAAAAGAAACATCTACGATAAGTACGGAAGTCTTGGTCTCTCAATTGCCGAGCAGGTCGGTGAGGACAATGTCAACACGTACTTTATGCTGTCTAACAAATGGTGTAAGGTAATGCAACTTACTTTCAGCTGAAGGTGTTATCATAGTCTTTTTGCAGTGCAGTTTTTAAGTCCCTAAAAAGCGTCCGTCCCACAATGCTTTAGGTGGACTAAATTCAACCTGACACCGCAAAGTTCCATATTGGTAAAATTTGTGTTTCAAATGCTTACTCAATTAGGATTAATGTGTTGCACATTTTACTGCCGCAATCCTACATGGGAAACGCCCGAATTAACCTCTTTGCTAAGTTGTAACATTCGTCTGCGCGGTACCATCGTTCGCTCTGGTAAAATCGACTGTCCGAGTAAGGCTTTTCCACCAGAACAACCTTGAAAATGATTGCTAAGCTACTGGTTGGGATGGAACCTAAATTATGTTCTGCTTGCTTGCGAACAGCTTCAGCATGCAACTTTGAGATCTGACAACTCGATTGGTAGCTTTGTTTTGGTTACACATCATCACATGTTTCTTTAATATCCTTTTACCGTCAGGGGAATAGAATCCTTTTAGTAGTTTCACATTTCGTTCACCGGGATCAGGTCGATTAAAATCACGTTTCTCTCATTCTAGGCTCTCTTCTTCTTTTGCTGTGCTATCACCGGTTGCTACTTCTGCTGTTGCTGCTGTTTCTGCTGCAACTTCTGTTTCGGGAAATACAAACCCCATGTCCACGAGCCACCACCCGAAGAGGTCAATCTTCGTGTACGTTGGGTTGTTTCTGTCCGTTCATAGTAACCTGCGCTGGTTTGTTAAGCGCACATGTTGGGATTCTGGGACCTCTAGCCATGCAAAGCCTCCGTGAAACTTGTAGGCAGCTGACTGAGCTTGAAGTGTTAGTACCGCCACCCAGCGTTCTGTTCTACGCAAATGCTGCTCACTGTAGTCAAGCGGGTTTTTTTATTTTTATAACTGCTCATAACCTTTAGAGTAAACGTACACGCCCGCCGTAAGTTGGTTTGCACGGGCATTACTGATCGTAATCGAATAAAACACACTGATTTGAATCATTCGTATTGTCGCGGCGACTCAGCACTTTCCTTATGCGAGTGTTTGTTAATTTTAATCTCGAAGTCATAGTAAAATTCGAAAAGGCTCATTTGGGTTTTAGGTTTGGGTATGGTTCGCAAAAGTGATTGCCTCTAGATGCTTTCGGATTTAAGGATCTGATTTTTGATGCTGGTTCCCTTCGCAGTACACGTTATTGAATCGATTAATAATACGTCTTGCATATTTTACTTTGCATAAAGTCCGGCATCAGAGTAAGCAGTTTGATTGCTCATGAATTTACCACGTAAAGGCCATTTACTGTAGAGTTTCGTTTTTATCTGCGTTTTATCTGCCCAACGTTTCTTTGCTAATTGACAGATTTACACTAGGGTCGCTCATAGATGTTTTCAGTATGCTACGCAGTTGCAAATAAGGCCTGAATTGGTTTGTTGCAAGTGGTATTTTGATTAACTATGACCATTTTGGGGAATTCATTTAATAAATGCAGTCACTTTGTATTGTTCTCATCTTCAAATGTGTTATCTAATCTAACAAGCGAACTGTTTACAATTAAAATGTTGTAAGTGGTGTACTGTAGCAAAACCGAACCAAGATGTTTTTTGATTTGTTGAGAACTTATTTCTCCTGATTCTGCCTGAAACTGTGTTACTGTAAATTGCCCACTTGTAAGTCCCATAAGTCAGCAGAGTCGCGTTCATCTTAGTCTAGGCTATTTAGACGCGTATTTTACCAATTCTTTTTGATCCCGTTGTACTTTTAGGAAGACGAACTGGATAATTTGGGAGACCCTATGCACCAAGCTGCTCCTCCTTATGATCCTGAAGCAATACGCCAGAGCCAGTTTAGTTCTTCTCAGGTGCCAATGGAACACCCCATGCCCATGCCCACCAAGGTAATCACTCAACAACCACAATCGACGCTCTCCGGGTTCTAGTGATTTCTTCTCATTTACATTAAACTGTTAGTGAATTATTTGTGCATTGTCGTCTTCTAGTCATTCCTCTTCCCAGGAACCTGTGATATCCGTATTTAGTGTTGTGTCACTTTGTACTTCTCTTGTCTTTTTGCTTTCTCTATGAAACTGTGCGTGCAATATTTTGTGAGAACTATTTATGTGCTGATAGATCCTTTTTTTCAAAAATTGATCACACCTCTTCCCTACTTTGTTGTTATTCATTGGCGTTTCACTGTTTTAGTACCCTAACTATGGTGCGATTTCTGCCTTTTTGTTAATACTTCTTATTCTGGGTGTTTATAAACCATGATAAGCTCGAATTTACCGCAACACCCGAAGGAACTAGTGTTCTTAATTTTCAAGCAATCTTGATTTTGTCGCTACCTGGCCTGGAGCTCATTTAATCCGCCAACAAAAGACTACAGAACTATCTAACCGGTGATGCTTGTGTTCCTCTTTCCATCTGCTTGTTAAGGTCGTCAACCTGAAAGGCTAATGTAATTTTTGAGGGCCCCGGCATGTTGTCTTGAAACACGCCGGGGTCCCTGCATCGATCTAGGCCGATTGCCCTACCCTGGGTACTCGTCAAGATGAAGAAGACAGGAGAGGATGAGGCACTACCGTTCACTAGACAACTTGTGTTGTGTTGACCGATGCAGTTGAGTGGACTAGTAAAAATACAGAAGTCTGAAGGGTCACATTAATAGAGCGGGTGGTGGTGGTACATACAGGGGAGTGAATGAGCAGGCGGTCCCAGTGACTGACGGGCGCGCCGTGAAAAGGGGACGTGTGTGTGAGGCTGTGGATCAACATGATATCTGGCGTATATAATCCACTACAGTCTTTATTCGTTAGGGGTTTTTTTCTGGAACAAAAAGACGTTGGCTGGTGATTAGTTTGGCTTGCTGGAAGAATACGTTCGCCAACCCCTTTTGTTGAGGTGGAGAGCAGCTGGGAAACTCGTCCATTCAAAACCATCACCAAGGTTTACGAATGACTTTACTCAAATTTAATCCCCCTTTCGGATTCCGAAATTGGTTCCAATGCTAATGCTCCCATGTCGCATACTGTGATGAGCAAGCTGGTCTCTGATCTTGGAGGAATGCGAAACGAGGATGGGTCGCAGCCTATACGGTCTCAGTCTTCACACGACAGATCAACCATAATGGCGATATTTCAGCAACAGTTAATGGGCATGCGGGGAGAGAATAGGTGGTTGGTCCGTGCGCTAGGAATTGAGTGGGTCTAAAAAGATCAAAATGAAGATAAAATTTACCTGGGAGGTTTCATGTTGAGTGGCGTGTGTGACAGTTCCCCCAATTTGGAGGAGCATAGCCCTCAGTTAGAGTGAAAGACTTGAATTGCGAGCCAATCTCGACAATGTGGTAAGTTGGGATATCCGCGGCGGGTATTAAGCCTTCGATATCAAGGGGACTGACAGCGTCGAGTCCTGGTTCGAGGGGATTGAAATGCTCGGTTAAAGGGAAGGCGAATGGGTGGAATTTGGCTACTTGTCGGGGAGTGATTGAGAGACTAGGAATGAACCTGTATTTGTTCTGCTCAGCTTTGAATATTCGCCACAGATAAGGTAATGCAGGTGCAGCCAAAATGAATCGCCTATTTGGCAGGGAGTTCTGTGTGACTGTCGGTCGTATAACCATTGTCATTTGGAGCTTAGGTGATGTCGGGCGAGATTTATTTTCTCGCGGTGACTATCAAGAAGTGCGGTTTTGGCGTTGGCCTGCATAGACTAGGGCTGAATCTGGATCCTTTGTTTGAGATTGTCTAATTTAGGGGTGTAGAGCATACTGTGATGGCACTGACATCGAGTTTGAGTTGAGATTCGGTGTCGCAAGGCGAGAGAGTGTCTGCATTAACATGCTTCTTCGCTTATCGATTTCTAGCAGGACACCCACCTTGCCCAGGCCTTTTGTCAGTGAGCAAGCTGACATTCTGATTCATTGAAGTTCTGTAGTCAAGTGAGGGCCTAGTGGTTGGATCAGAAGACTAAAGGTCTTTCCTTGAGATGCACCGTAAACTTTAAGTAAACAAGACAACTGCCAAGAATTTGCTCTTATTTGTGAGATAGTTCTGTTCCATCTTTCTTATAATGCTGTTTGCATGTGCTATATTGTATTTCGCCTCGTCAGGTCCGCGTTATGCGGGAACTGCATCGATACCGTGGATGCTTCAGGATATGGAGAGAGATGTGTGATTACTGGTTTGACAATTTCAGGACGAGAGCTGAGATGAGTGTTTGATTAAGCTGTAACAATGTCTCTCAACAATCTGTCATTTAGTCAAAGGTTCAGTCTTTCGGCTTCAGCTGCTAAAATGGAAAGACTATCTATACAATGATGAAGGGGGGGGGGGGAAACAGCTATTTAGTCCTAAGAACGACAGCACTTCGTCTGTAGTGGTGG